AGAGCTGCTAACAAGGGCCACGGCAAACTGCGTCTTTCTCTCAATTAACACCCGGTTTGTTTATTAAGTCGACGGAGCTATGGTTTTCCTTTTTTTTTAATTTTCTTCTTTTTTTCACACAAGCCACAATGTACACATGCATTTTTTTTAAACATACACTTAATATCAAAGGATGAAACTAGGACTGTATCAGGACTACAACAGGACTAAATCAGGACTAAACCATGATTAAATCAGGTCTAAACCAGGACTAAATCAGGACTAAACTATGATTAAATCAGGTCTAAACCAGGACTAAACCAAGACTAAATCCGGACTAAACTAGGACGAAACAAGGACTAAACCAGGAGTAAACTGGGACAAAATCAGGACTAAACCAAGACTAAATGAGGTCTACAGTAAACCAAGACTAATCCAGAACTAAACCAGGTCTAAACCAGGACTAAACCAGGAGTAAACTCAGACTAAACCAGGATTAAATCAGTACTAAACCCAGACTAAACCCAGACTAAACCAGGACTAAATCAGGACTAAACCAGGACTGAACAAGGACTAAACTCAGACTAAACCCAGACTAAACCAGGACTAAATCAGGACTAAACCTGGATGAAACCAGGAGTGAACCAGGACTGAACCAGGACTAAACCAGGACTAAACTCAGACTGAACCCAGACTAAACCAGGACTAAATCAGGACTAAACCAAGACTAAATCATGATTAAATCAGGTCTAAACCAGGACTAAACCATGATTAAATCAGGACTAAACCAGGACTAAACTCAGACTGAACCCAGACTAAACCAGGACTAAATCAGGACTAAACCAGGACTAAATCATGATTAAATCAGGACTAAACCAGGACTAAATCCGGACTAACCAAAAGTAAAAGCGATACATAATCTATAAATTTCAGTTGCTTTTTTCTTTACATTTTACCTTATAGTTACTCCACACTTAATACAATTTCATTTTCTCCACCACTGTTGTAGTCAGTCCAAGCAAGCTTTCTGTTTTTTTTTTTTTTTATAAGTTAAGGTATTTTTTTAATATACCAGATGCAGCTCCTTTTTCAAATGGATTTATTATTTTACAAACTTAGAAAATACCAGTTGTTTCATAATTAGTGACTGAGAGCGGCTTTGGAAATGTAATCCACAACAGATTTTTGTTCACAAGTTCAGTCACTTTGTTGTTAATGGGCCAGTGTTTATCGGCACTAATGAGATAAATGACTCTTTTGTTGGTTTTGTATGAGAAATTATTTTAGACTTATTTTGATCTGACTAAACCACTTCAGCTGCAAAAGATGAGACCAAAAGTGAACCAGAACAAAAAACAGAGTAAATCAGGACTAAGCCAGGACTAAACCAGGGTTAAATCAGGACTAAACAGGACTAAACCAGGACTGAATCCAGACTAAACCAAGAACAAACCAGGACTAAACCAGGACTGAATCCTGTCTAAACCAGAACTGAAACAGGACTAAACCAGGACTCAATCCAGACTAAACCAGGACTAAAACAGGACTAAACCAGGACTGAATCCAGACTAAACCAGGACTGACTCCTGAGTAACCCAGGACTAAACCAGGACTAAACCAGGACTAAACCAGGACTAAACCAGGACTGAATCCAGATTAAACCAGGACTAAACTAGAACTAAGTCAGGACTAAACCAGGACTAAACCAGGACTAAACTTAGTAGCGGTAGTAGTAGTAGCCGTAGTAGCAGTAGTAGTAGCAGAAGGAGTAGTATTCGTAGTAGTATTCGTAGTAGTAGTAGTAGTAGCATTTGTAGTAGTAGCAGTAGTAGTAGTAGTAGTAGTAGTAACAGTAACAGTAGTAGTAGTAGTAGTAGTAGCAGTAACAGTAGCAGTAGTAGTAGTAGTAGTAGCAGAAGCAGTAGTAGTAGTAGCAATAACAGTAGTAGTAGTAGTAGCAGAAGCAGTAGTAGTAGCAGTAACAGTAGTAGCAGTAACAGTAGTAGTAGTAATAGTAGCAGAAGCAGTAGTAGTAACAGTAGCAGTAGTAGTAGTAGTAGTAGCAGAAGCAGTAGTAGTAGTAGCAATAACAGTAGTAGTAGTAGTAGCAGAAGCAGTAGTAGTAGCAGTAACAGTAGTAGCAGTAACAGTAGTAGTAGTAATAGTAGCAGAAGCAGTAGTAGTAGCAGTAACAGTAGCAGTAGTAGTAGCAGAAGCAGTAGTATTAGTAGCAGTTGCAGTAGTAGCAGAAGCAGTAGTATTAGTAGTAGTAGTGTAAAAGTATGTCACAAGAAGTTCAGTTTTCTTTAAATGTTACTCAAGTTAATGCACAAAAATGAATGTAATTAAGAACTATTTTTTACTTTTATCTCTCATTCAAATCAGAAGTAAACCAGGCTCTAACCAGGATCAGACCAGGACACACCTTAGGCCCTTGCCCTCCATCTGAAATCTTGACAAAATTGAATTCCAAACATATTTATGCCCAATGAACATTTTGACCACGGTGAATATATCCAACACACTGGCATTCATATTTCTAACTGAACTAATAAAGATTTAGTACAGAAGGTTAATGGACTAAAAGCTTTTCAGCTCTGACAGTAATACAAAATAGAACCACTTCTGTATCAAAGATAATGCATATGGCAAAGATAGCAGGACTGATTCAGCAGTAAAGTTTTGTTGCCTAAAGGTGCACTGTGCAGCTTTTATGGCGCTTGTCTCCATGGAGATGTTATTGCTTTGTCTGGAATGTTCCATGGTATGACATTAAACACATCCATCCAGCATTATGGGTGTTACTATTGCTCAAAATGACCATCATTACTTCAGTGAATAGGGTTGACTCTCCACTGATCTGACTTGTAATGTAGCGTAGTGCTGTAACCTGCTGTGATAGATAGTTTTAATCTATACTGTGGAACATTCTAGACAAAGCAATACAATTTCCATGGAGATAACCTGCTGCAGGAGCCTCCACTTGAAATTTTACACAGTGCAACTTTAACATTTTGAATTCATATAAACATTAAACAGCCGGTGCTTTATTCGGAAGCAAGTTATTAAGAAGTAGTAAGTACCGTATTTTTTGTACTGTAAGTTGCACTTTTTTCCTAGTTTGGATGGTCCTGCAACTTATACTCCGGTGCGACTTATATATTACATTTTTCACACTGACAGCGGCAAGAAGGCGCTCTAGTCTTGTGTGTCAGTATCTGCTGCTCTTATTACTCCTGTACCACTGTCACTTCATTCTACTGCACATGTCTCCTGCAGAAAGAGCCTCTGTCCTGTCTGTATCTGTCTGTCAGTTGATCGCACCATTACTTCTGCACCACTGAAAATTTTAAATTTAAACAAACTTATAAAGACGACTGAGAAGACTGAGAAGAAAAACACAAATGCTCCCAAAAAGAAAATCATATTTTGCAAGTATTGAAATATGCAGCTGAAAATGGTAATTGAGCAGCAGAAAGAAATTTTGGAGTGAGTGAGAAACTTGTGACAACGGCACCATGCAACTTTCCTAGAAGTCATTGGATGGATCAACAAAGCCTGGACTTCAGTGACAACAGAAACCATCCTGTCAGGATTCAGAAAGGTCAGAATAATTCTAACTGGAACTGATGCTGAGTCTGACGACAGCTACACAGAAGAGAAAGTGGCGCTCCGTTTACCTCTGAAGGTCACGAAGTTACTCAGAAGTGAGTACACTGAGGATCAAGACCTGTTATTGTTATTATTATAATTTGCCTTTCAAGATGGAATGTTGGTTCCTGGTCTCTGATTTTATAAAACAGATTTCCCCCCAAAAGTGCGACTTCATTACACATTTTTTGGCTGGTGCGACTTATACTCAGGAGTGATTTACAGTACAAAATATATGGTAGTAATTCTAGTTGGTAATAGCATAATAGTAATAGGGTTGTCAAAAGTACAGCAAATCAAACTAGTATCAAAACCAGATTCTCATTTAAGCAGGTATCAATATTCAAAAAATTCACATTCACGGGGCAGAAATGCACCTTTCCTGAGTAGCTTTAGAATGAATCTTGAGCTATATCAAAACAAGTATAAGAGCACATAGACTGGTATACACCCATGGACACTATGGAACCTACCTGAACCACTGAGGGATTATACACATATAAAACCACGGGAATAGAAAAGAAAGTACTCTGATTTAAAGTTGAAAATCACATTCTATTGTTTAAATATAAAGTGTCTCTTAAGTGTTTAAGTTTTATTATCATCGTGGTATCCGGTAGTATCCAGTATGCAGTTGTCTCCAGTAGATTAGAATACTGTAACAGCCTGCTCACTGTGAGACGCTGCAGTACATCCAGAACGCTGCAGCTCGGGTCCAAAGATAGATTTCCAATATGATGGATTATAAAGTTTAAGTTAAATTAGTAGTGATAGCCTAAACAGTAGTAATATTTGATAGTGGTGATAGCAGAAGTATTATATAAGTTATAGTAATATTAGTAGTAGCAGTAGTAGTAGAAGTAATAGTAGTAGTAGTAGTAGTAGTAGTAGTAGTAGTAGTAGTAGTAGTAGTAGTAGTAGTAGTAGTAGTAGTAGTAGTAGCAGCAGCAGCTTAGGAGTACTAGTAGTTATATTAATATGGAGTAGAGGACCTGCTACAAGAAACTCAATTGAACTACTAATATTTACACTCAGCACTATTATATTTTTTACTTGATTAACACCATTTTGAAGTCACAGATTTTTTTTGTAAAAGGTAAAATCAAACGTTTTGACTCGTCTCCCCGGCCGCTCCAGCTGGGTACACACAGGGCCCGGGTTTGTGCCCTTCAATGACACTGGCCCCGTTAGCAGGACCTTGTGCTTAATTGAGCGCTCGGTGGCTAGTTATACGGCCCTGATCAGATGTGCTGGGACTTAAGAGGAGCAGAGGTTAGACAGATGCACGTAGCCTTTAATGACCACGCTGTGAGCGCTACTGCCCCCCTGTGGTCAAAGGAGGAACAGCGAGGAGGCAGAGCAGTACTTACTGTGGGAACTCAGGGTTGTAGAGAGTTGGTTGGAGGATGCCGGCGGGGAAAACTGAAAAACAAACAGCAACATACATTTAAAAGGTGTACCTTTTATTCTGGATATTTGAGATGGATAATACTAGTCACAATGCAGTACATATGAAAAAGGTTTAGCTTTGGCAGAAGAGATTAAAAGGAGAAGAAAATTGGTGTGTTGGAAGGTGCAAAGGCCTTGTGATTTTGGACCATGTATTTTTGTGGCAAACGACTATACATTTTTGGAAAACACTTAGTGGAATAAAATTTGTCCAGCTGCATGAAATACCTATTAAAGAGTGAGGCATATTGCAGACCTACATGCAGATTGTGACAAAGCGACTCCCCCAAAAAATCTCTTGTGACCCACCTGAGGGTCGCAACCCAGTCTTTGGGAAACAATGCACTCTGTGCAAAGTCCCACCTGGGCCAAAGTCCCACCCTTACCAAGCCTGGGCATGGTTCGATTGCGCTCACACTGGACAGTCATACCAAAACTTTAGGGCAGGAATCATCAAATTAAGGCCTGCGGGTCGACTTCAGCCCTCCATGCTCCCTTGAGCGGCCCCCGAGCCCCTCTGCCCCCAATCACTTGGACTGGCCCTATGAGGTTATCAAGTTGTCAAGTTAACAGGTCTGCATCTTGTATTTTTTTAATAAAAATAAATAAATAATATATATATATATATATATACAACCAATAATTTTTTGTTCAGTGTAAGGACCATGCAGTTTGTCTGATATGTTAAAAAAAAGTGTAGCAGTTTTCAAAGAATATAATCTGCATCGTCAGGGTCGTACAATTCTGTTATACAGCCGACTCTGGCCCCCATCACAGTCAGGAGCCATAATGTGACCCCCAGAGAAAAAAGTTTGGTGACCCCTGCTTTAGGGGCTATTTGTGCTTCTGTAAACCTTCAACCAGTACTGGCAAATAAACCTCTACAGTGATATGACATTCATGAACGAGCCAGCTCTTTTCAGTGGTTCTTTCATGTGAACGATTGGAAGCAGATCTCATTTTTCAAAAGAACCCAAGCCTTTTCTCTTTAAATTTTACGTATTTTGACACATTATTATGAACTCTGAACCAACACCAGAAGCTGCACAGAAGCACAGCAGGCACCACAAGTGTGAGCTTTATGAACAAAAAACAAATAGTAGAAATAACATAGCCCATAAGTTTTTCATAAGAGTAACTGTGTTTTAAGTCTATTCATCAGCAGAGGCCTGGCTTAAGTCTAGATAACAAAAAATATATGTAGGGCTGAAATGTATCCAGGTTTACTCCTGATTCCTGGTTCTATTTTTTATACTTTTGTTGAATGAAGCACCAAAACTTTCTTAGAAGAAGTTGAGGACCATAAAACAGTTTGGTGCAATTATTACTTCATTATTATATGTTCACTCTCGAGTCATCAGAAGTAATCAGGCATGGTGACATATCTTGCCCAAAGACACAATGGTAGTGTTCATGGTTTTTAGATTCTACTTTTCTAATATCAAATTTAAGAACACTTCATTTATTAAGATTCATTTCCAGGCTTGTTGACTCGTCTGCATCCTCACTTAAAGTGGCTGTACCTAATTTCTTTCCATGTATTTGAGGACATTTCTTTTGCACCTTGCTGATATATTATAAAAGCAACTTGAGGTCAAAATGAGACAGCTGTGTCCTGCCTGCATCTGATTTATTGTCTGAAAATCAAGAAGTGCGCTGTTAGCATACTCTGGCCTCTAATAGTTGTGAAAAGAACTTATAAACTCATGATGTGAAAAATTTGGAAGCTCTGGATGCTTTAGGAAAGTGAGGAATAAGTTTGGATCAGCGCAAAATGTTTAAAATCAGCAAGTTGTGTTTTTCACGATATTCAGACGATAAAACATACACTGCCAGTCAAAAGTTTGGACTCACCCTCTCATTTTTTTTCTGCATATTACATTCTACATTTTCTATACACACAGAAGAGATAAAATATATGAAGTGACATATATAGAAAATGATGTAGTAAAAAAAAAAAGAAGTGAAATAATAACCCACCTGTTGTTGTTGAAGAATATTCTTTTAACTTTTTTCTTTTGTACGTGTTAGAGCATGGAAACCCGACTGAGGTTTGATGCGTTTAGACAAATATTTACCCTGCGTTCGATTATTTTTCCGAATCGGTTTTCCTAGAAAGTTGCCTAGCGATATGCATGACACGCCCCTTTTCCTGAGACGGCGCGAATCGGACCTTGGTCACGGAAAAAGTAGACCGCGCAAGGATTCCAACTCAGAATCCAAGATGGCTGTGCCCACTGTGGCATGTAAATATGAAGCGTTTTCATTGTGTTTGGACACTTTGGTGGTTTAAATGACAATTTCAGTCACTTGTATCACTGCAATACTTTACCACGTCTGTATCACTGCCTGTGGGTTTGGGAGTTGGTGTTGGGGTGAGGCCAATATTGAACAAAACTTGATTTAACAGGCGTTAATGTCCCAAAGGTCGCTAAGGGGACACACGAAACATAATAATACGCTTCAAGCTCAGACATGACGTCAAATCTGAGGTCCAAGTGGGAGTGGGAAGATAATTGAACGCAGGGTTAGAGCTTATGTTTGGGCTTGGGTCAGACTCGGACACATCAGTGCATCAGCTGTTTCGTGTCTACAGTAAAACCACTCGCTTTGAGACTCTTTAAGTGTTCAAAAGATCAGACCGCTGCACTTGGAGTCAAAACTTTGTTATTATTATTTGTGAAATGTGGTGCAATACTTCAGATACGTGATTAGTAAAGCATAAAAGATTGGCGATAAAGTAAACAAAAAGGATAAACAGGATTAACAGCGCTGTTTTGTGGACTGGATGTAATTATTTGTGTAGGACAATTTCTACAGATTATGTGGATGAGATGCTGCACTTTACCACTTTACGAGAGGTGAATAATAAAGTCTTCTCATTATTTTTACTATATCCCGAGTTTGTATTTGCGTCTCTGTGTCTGTTAGAGGTCACACAAACAATATCTTACGTGTGTCATTAGTAGGCCCAGGAAAATAGTGTAGTTTTAATTGTTTCAGTCGGGTTCAAACACCAATATTTTAATGCCTATTGGGCTCGGGTCAGATTCAATCACTGCTCTGTCGGACTCGGGTTCAGACAGAAAAATTCGATCCACACTCTTGTATGTTTATCAAATGTAGAAAGTAAAAAAAAAAAAAAAAATGCTGAATGATGTGTCCAAAGTTTTGACTGGTGCTATTTAAAGATACACAGAGTAACTTTTCTGGTGGAGAGTCTGTCACCAGCTTCTCTCCATGGAGATATTGCTTGGAATGTTCCACAGTATGGCATTACACTTAGGGCCTGTTTACACAAGAACACTTAGAACGGGTAAAAATGACAAAATATTTTATCAGAAGTGCCTTTTGTTTAGACGGTGACAGCATTTTTGGGACTTAAAAATGCAAAAATCTGAAACCACCCTGCAGAGTGAAAAAGTTGAATACACTCCATTGTAACATTTCTATCTACACTGCCCAAGATGCAAAACTCTGGTCAGATCTGCTCAGGTCACGTACATGTTTACGTCACCTACATGCAGCACACAGAAACAAACATGTTGAATCATCTACATGCGTCGGACCTTCAAGCTTCTCTAGCCGCTCTAATAAACTTACAGGACAACAAATGTACAGAATCTGCAGAGATACTATTATTGAACAGAGAAGGATCTGCAATCACCTCTGTCAAATTCTAGATGCACCAGTTCATCGCAGGTGAGCCAGAAAACTATGGACGAGACCTGGAGAACCAGTCGATGGTGGGACAACTTTGTGGAAGCAGTAGATGATGAAAATGCGTGACATGAAAACTTCCAAAAATGCCCTTGTTGCTTTAAGTATGTGTGTACCCAATCGAATTCCATACACTTTTGCGTCACTGTATGCACGCAGATTTCCTCCTGAAAACGTTTGTCTAAACCCAAAATAAAAAGTGAAGACGCGACGCCAATTTGCATATCAGATCTGTGGAGAGGCGAGCCCACTTACAGTAAGAATAGAAGTTTTTTAGGTGAATAAAAACCCTTGTTATGGAGTGAATGCAAAATGGATACGTTTAAAGTCATATCGAGACTTTCCAGACAAAGCAACAACATCTCCATGGAGACAATCAATTGGCGGAACCTCCACCAGAAAAGTTACACAGTGCACCTTTAAACATACATGACCAGTCAAAAGTCTGGACTTCTTTACAACATAATTCCATACATTTTACTTCATATATTTGGTTTCTTCTGCAGGTATATGAAATGTAGAAAGTAGTAAATACATAGAAAAAAAAAGTCAAACGTGAGGGTGAGTCCAAACTTTTGACTGGTGCATATTCCAAACCACAAAACCCTACACAAAGCAATGACACAGACTCTGCTCTTTTGGTCATTTGTAACTATAGACTTTAATTTTCCGGGGCCCAGTTTTATGGATTGGGACTTTGTGGATTTGGCTCTTTGCGCTGAACGGAATGCCAATATCACATGGAGAAATTAGCCCAAACTTTTCGTAACTCTCCACTTTGGGCTTACAGTGAACTTCTGCATTGATCAACCTTTGCCTGGCCAATCAGATGCTGTAGTTATATCTCCAGTTGGCAGTTTTGGGGAACTGTATAACTGGCAATAAAAGTGAATATAGAAAGAAATATAGAAAGTCCAATCTCTTGTTTCTTGCTGTTACTGCTTCTTTACTTATGTGTGGAGTTGTTGCACTGATTTCTTTTAAAACTGAGAGTCATAACAGCACGTTTAAAGGTCATGTGTTACTCTCCTGTTGTGCGCTTGTGAGCTTTAAGCCATGATAGAATGCTATAACCTATGGCGTCAAAATAGTCCCATAATACGATAAAGTACGATAAAACATGCAGGCATATTGAATTATTTTACATATGTAGATATTAACTGCGAGCAATTTATCTCTGCTCGTGAGGAGAAAGTTCTCTCGAAGTTGATTTCTGCTCGAAAATGAAAAAACAACTATTTTCTTCATTATTT